AAAAATGTAGGTAGTGGCAACTGCATTTGCAGAAATTCTACACATTGTGTATGGAAGGGCACTGAACAACTAGTTTATTAATGATGTATTTAAATGCGTATCAGAGACGTGTGTCACAGGGGATCAAGGTATGACTCATTAATGTTGCCAGATCTTGCTCTTAAAAAATATTATAAAAAAACAACACATGCCAATTATAAACTCAAATCCAAATGCGTTATCTTGAAAATACTAACTTCGAGATCTGTAAAAAAAAGTACTCTGGGAATGTCTTGGGTGAACACAATGCTGATTCTGTAGTTCACTGTGACAGTATTTATGTTATGAATGTACACGTAACTTCATACATCTGAAAAACAAGTCTCCACGAGCTGAGGGTGATCATTAGGAGTTCTGTCACTGACACTGCAAAAACACCTCCCAGCATCCCTCCACCCACCAGAGATTCATTTGTACACCTTTTGGTGTTTTGATGGTGGACACGCTCAGCTGCAGAGGCGTCCCGCTGCGCGCCAGGCATCAGTCAAACTCTCACGCTTTGTTGTGGCACTGCAGAGATAAAAGACGCCTCTCCAATGCAGTGTGCTGTTGCTGCTGTTGGTATGTTGTAAGAGAGAGTGTTTGGATCAAAGTTGAGTTGAACAGTGACCCGAGGAGGCGTCTTTCTGTTTAATCAAGGATGTCCTGTTCGCAAGCATCAGTATGGCCTTTAAAGATGCCTAATTACATGATATGTGAGAGATTATGAAGGCTCTGGTTCCACAGATAATAAAACTCTTAAAACGGTTAGTTCCAGTACTGGATTCTGATTGGTCAACAGCTGTGTTTTATTCACATTAAAGCACAGCTATGACCGCTTGACCCAACAGTTCTTTGTATCAAAGTGAAAGTTGGTCATTTTTATCCTGTTTATTTTCTTGGTCAGTGTCTTTTGCTTTGTTTTGTTTGTTGTTGTAGGCTGTATGACTCTTTCAAATGACTCAAACGTTGTGGTGATGTAATTCAGTCAAGAGCTGGAAGTACTTCACAGCCATCAACACCACCGCAAAACCAAAAATCCCCACAACAAACAAAAGAACAGCAGTTCCCATAGGAAAGAATAACCCACAAATAAGATCTCTTTAATATCTTGATCGTTTCTCCAGACGGAGCAAACAATGTCCAAATGAACAAATGGAGAATCTCAGATGTTTCCCCAATAATCTGCAAACATCTGCAATCAAAGGTCAGAGATCTGAATATGATCAAACTCTCCAAAAAACAATCTGAACTGCTATTCAATCATTTTATGTCAGTCACACTTTAGTTTGAGGACCAATTCTGACTATTAACTAGCTATTAACTAGGGGTGCAACGGTTCTCGGTAAAAAATAGAACCGTACCGTTCTCCACACATGGTTCGGCATGCACTAGGACCGCGGTTCAACTTAAATCTGACAATGCATCTGTAATATGGTTTGTTAGATTTCGGCAAATGCACGTTTCTGTTGATGGATACAAATTCTGGCTTCCCAATACATTACAATAAGAGCGATGAGAGAGAAAACAACAACAATTCGTGGACAAACCAGTCACTCTTTGTTCAATGCGAGTGCTGTATGTTGGAATAACTGTAATTTATGCCGTCATCACGTGTTGATAACGCAGGTGAGACCTGAACATCACACGTTGCTATCTGTGTTTAAACTAAACTCATTTAAGCCTGGCCTGTTTAAATATTAAAGAGCCAGAAGACGCAAACTCGCGCGCAGTCAGAAGATCTGTGTGTGCGCTCATCCAAAGCGCGTGAACCCGAGTCTCAGAACGCACACAAATATTAAGCTCTTTGTGAAGTATTGTGTTTGAATGGACAAATTCACACAAAAATGATGTTAAAATGCCCATCTTGGTGAGTATCCTAGCAGACATAGTCGGCTGAACGTACTGTATCAGTGCACTGGATCAGTGCGTTCTCTTAAAGTGACAGCACTTTCTTAATGTTAATCAAACAGCAACAACACGGAAATCACTCACTGCTCTTGATTTAATAACTTTTGTAACTTTAATAAGGATTAATCTTTCATTTATACAGTCAAATATGCAATATTTTAAATTTGATTACTTTATTCAATTTCTGTACCTAAAAACTAATGTTAGACCTACCTAAAAAACCTGAAAAGCACTGTTTATTTTATTTGTATCTTTGCTCTATTGTATTTATTTGTGCTGTTGCTTGTAGTTAGATTGTGTTCTTATTTTCTTTATTTTTATTTGACAATATAGTTTTTTCCCTAAACATGGCTCATACCGAACCGTACCGAATCCGTGACCCCAAAAACCGTGATACAAACCGAACCGTGAGTAAGTTGAACCATTGCACCCCTACTATTAACTATGATTTTTGCCTCAATAAACTCATAATTTGCTGTTTATTAACAGTAAGGTAGTTGTTAGTTTAGGTATGGGGTGGATTAAGGGATCTAAAATATGATCATGCAGAATAAGACATTAATATGTGCTTTATAAGTACTAATAAACAGCAAATATGCTAGTAATATGCATGCAAATATGCAACTAGTTAATAGTGAGAACTGATCCCTAAACTAAAGTGTTACCTGCATCTGAAGACTTCAAAATTGAATGAAATATACAAATAAAAGTATAAAAACCGAAAACTACTGAGGTGTAACTGAGAGCTCTCTTAATCTCCTGAGCTGTGAGCTATAAACGTAAAAACTGAATTTAACCTTCAGGATTAAAAATCACCATAAATCCAAGTCCTGACACATGGCATGATGTGTATGTATAAATTCCTGCACAAACATACAAGTAAGACTCCTTTCCTTCAGTTTACACATGCTGGAATACATAAGCGAGTCCACCGTGACATTCAGCGTGGCGTTCCTTGCGAACTCCCTGCTCTCTGTAAACTGGATTAAAGGTGCAGTTCGTTGACGCTATTCTTTCCCTTTTTGATATGAAATACTTTACAGCTCAAACGGCTGGATCTCTTCAGACCGCACGCCTAAGCTGTGCACAAAGGCACTGCGCTTTATTATTATTTATGAGGTGGAACATTGTCAAGTGCTTCTTCTGCTTTAGAATGACCTTCATTTAGTTCGAGGCCATAAACCTTGACCGTCTTATCACGAGGCAGACTCCCTACACGACACCACTACACATCACAAACTGTAGCTTATGGATACAACTCACATCTTATGTGCTGTCTAGAGATGAGCACCTGACATAAATATGGTTTGTGATGTTATATCGGCTAAACACAGCAGTGCTGAGTTTATATGGTGAATCATTATGAACATGGCACAATGTTTTGATTGTCTTGATTTCTAGCACAAACATCCAGAAAATGAGACTTGGATATGATCACCAAAAAATTAAAATTGCATCATCATTTACTCTCCCTCAAACCTGTATGAGTTTGTTTCTGCTGTTGAACACAAAAGAAGATATTTTGCTGAATGTTGGTAACCAAACAGCTGACGGTAGCCATTGACTTCCACAGAATTTTTTTTTTCATACTGTGGAAGTCAATGGCTACCAAAATTCTTCAAAATATCTTCTTTTGTGAAAAAGGAAATTCAAACAGGTTTGGAACATCTTGAGGGTGATCAGATAATGACATAATTCTCATTTTTGGGTAAACTATCCCTTTAACCTTCTGGCACGACTGATCCTTACACACATCATTTTGTTTAAATTCACTATGCTAGCCACAAATGGTATGAATGTTGATGAATGATGCATCTTTTGAAAGGTCTATGTGTTAAGCATCAGCATCGTGTCATTATGCTTCAGCAATAGTAATATAGTAATATGGGTTGAAAATACAAATAAAAATCAAAACTTCAAGACTTTATGCCTTCATTATAAAACAGCGATCGTGAGATGAATCCAATCCGTCACACTGAAATTGTTAAAGGATCTATTTAAGCATGTTGAAGCATTGAATCTATGAAATATTGATATATAATCCACTGTTTAAATCAGATTTGCCTGAATGATCTGCAACTCAACTTGAGAATTCAATCTGTGGCGGAAGGACTTTTTTTTTTTAAGACACTCAGTGGTTGTTTTTAATTTATTTAAACACTTGTGTCGAAATTATGTATCATTCGTATCTGTCCAATATCGCTCTAAGCACTGATGCTGATATAGAGCAATATCACACAGTTATATATACACAAGTTTATTTGTCTGTTAACCAATATGCAGAACTGATATTTATTTATTTTACTTCTGTTTTTGACGTAATTATAACAAAAACACTGAACTGAACAAACGACACTTTTATCAATACTGTAATTTCACTTTCATCTGTAATTTCAGACATCTTAAAAATTTTTAAATTTAATCTTCATATTACAACAAAAAAAAAAAAAACACTGCATCTTTTTATTTATTACAACAACAGCAGCAACACTAATATTAACAGTAGGCAAAATAAATGAACATAGTCTAATGTTTTCGAATGAAAAACACAAATAAATGACAGGGGCATCTATAAACGCCATTTATCAGTGAATTAAATATTACAAAAACCTGTATCCAATTATGGAGACGTCAGTATTAGTAAAATATCAGTAAAACTGATTATCGGTTCATTTCCAGTGCAAGGCTTCCAGTGTCATCCGCTTCCAGTTTTTTTCTACAAAACAGCTTGTTAAGCTGCTTAATACTGCGAACTGGTATTTCTTATATTATTATAATAATGTACTCTCATAATTATAAACACACTGTTTTGTAGTGCAAACTGTTTACCGCACTTTGTTGTTCTTTTAGATACCTATAGCGGCTAATGAATCAGAGGTTTTGCACATTCACAGAGAATAGCTTACTTCCACATAATTAAGGTGAACTGGACTCAAAACATCTCTTAAAAAATGATCCCCCGAAAAATATCTTTGGAGCAGCTGCAGATGCACTGACCGTCAGTACATACAACACACACAAGCACTGGACACTCGTGTTTGCAGCACTACATAGAGGAACATGCATCTCACCTTTGAAAAAGCAGTCTTTGCTGTGGACCACATAGATTCTCCTCCGCTGCAGGCAAGCAGTGCGGTAAATCTCGCAGTGGTTCTCATAAAAACGTCCGTCAGAGCCACACACAGGCACAAACGAAGTGTGGCAGCTTTCCTGGCACACACACTCGGCACGGCCCATTTCTTCCCTGACCACACACTCCCGACCCCGGCCACAGTATGCCCTCCTGCACGGACCCCCATCTGCAGAGAGATAAGGCTAAACGTTAAAAACAACATCAATTTGTGCGTGATTCATCAGCCTGTGAAACAACGTCATCAATCCCTGTTTGCTTTCATACGACTGTCATAAAACATGCTGCAGTCATGACATCAAAACCTGGAAGACTAATTATCCATGCACTGTAAAAAATAGTCATTATTTAATGGGAAAAGACTGTAAAACTGCTATGGTAAAAACTATTAATTGGTTAAGAGTAAGTTCCCTTATTATATTGTAATAGATTCAACCTTACATTTGAAAAAAAAAATAAAAAATACTGTTATATTTACAGTTTTTAAGTGGAAAAGAACCAGCCATCAGTGAAAAACATAAATTGACAATAATTCCCATATTAATGGCTAAAGTCTGATTACTCCGTATTCAGCACTGTGCTACAATAATGTGAGCAACATGTATGTTTGTAATTTTGAGAAAATTATGTATATGTGTGGTTAGTATAAAAAAAGGTATTTTTAAAATCACTAAAATAAGGCCATAAACCACATACTAAACATTTTGTTCACATTATATTAGTAAACACCATTTTTATAACTGTAAATTTAAGTTTAATCTGTAAAACCTAAAATGTTGCTACTGTATTTGTACAGTAAAGTTCTGGCAAACACAGCTGCTGTTTTTTACTGTAAATTTCACAGCTTTTTAAATTTCAGATTTTACAGAGTGGGTTCCTTCGTGATTTTCATATGGGTTTTTATAATGGGGATTTTCAATTTTTCAGTAAAACAAGGTCTGTGGTAAATATCAATTGACGATACAATGTGAATTACCCACACCCAAACTGAAAATGCAAATTTTGATGTGTTTATGTTTATTTTTAAAAATATAAGTTTCTAATAAGTACATAAGAACTTTTGGCGTGTGAGTGTGTGCAGTTTACGTTGTAGAACAAAAAGTCCAAGTTGCATTTACCATAAACCTTATTTTGCTTATGAATTGAAAACCCCATTATAAAATGTCCATAGAAAAAATCTGAAGGCTAATTAGTCTTCTGGATTTTGGATGTCACGGCTGCATCACTATATAGAGACACTCTTCATCTAAAAAATACACATTTCAAATCCCCTCACATTTTTCTCTGAATATTCTCTTTTGATCTCACATTATGAAATGAAACAATGAGTTGCTATCTGCTCTACCATGAATGTCGTAAAACAAAGAAAGAACAGCATGTTTGTAATGCAGTTTGGACACACTTTGGTTCACTCTATCCCAGATAGTATGTAAAGTTTCTCAGCCAAGTGTAAAATCTTGCTCCCTGATGATTCCCCCAGTTGGCAGTGGAAAAGCTGCTGAGGTCTGTATGCTCTTTCCAGAGCCGCAGGAGCGCAGTAGGGGAAAACTCCTGCTGGAGTCACGCGCTAGATTTTGGGCTAGAGCATTGTCCATGCCAGTTTTAGTACTTTCTTCGGGCGACAGCTGGTAGGCAGGAAATGATTCCCAATTAATTCCTGACCGCTGACTGAGAGCAATGGAGTGGCATCAAACCCGGATCACCGTCTCCTACTTTGTATACTACTACTCAGCATACTACATGGGCATTACAACGGTATGCACCATCAGACAGGAGAATGTGTTGACTGGTACAGATTACATGGCACCAAGCAAAAAAAAATACAGGCTGCTCTGCAAACTGTTGAGATCTCGTGACTCAGGTAACATCACTACATGATTGTATGTCATATAAGAGCACTTTGGAATTTCCAGCAAAAATAACTATACTGTGATACATACCATTTTATATAAAATTTTGGTCATATTGTTGCATTTTTCAAATAATAGATGGATGCTGCTGTGACGTGCTCTGAAAACAACGGGTTATTTGGGTTAAAAACTTATAAATACTAGCGATTTGGAACAGACAATCCAATATAGTAATAAAAACACATGTGTTGCAACATTATCCAATATAGTCAAACTCAGCACTGCATCATCTTTTACTTGCCAACGAATCTGGAGTAAAGCAAACAAACAAACAGTGTTTCACTGACGTGATCTGGAGCTCTTTACTTTACTGTGTCTACACTGGACGCGAGCAGCACAACACGGCTAAAGACAACAGAACCCATTATAATCAGCGATTCTGTCTACGCTGGATGTGGCAGAAATTGACACAACAAATCTCTGACAGTATGTCCCGTTCTATTTCTGATGTACTCCAGGTGCTCGCGCTTACATGAAAGAGAAATGGATTTGTGACACGATGCAACACAACAACGCTCGCGTCCGATCTAGATACGGTGTTAAGATTACAAGGAAGGAGGGCAGTTCAAAGACTCTCCGAGGCTCCTCGGAGGATCTCTATGGTTTTGTTAATGATGTAATCCTGTGTTTACATCTCTTTAGTATTTCCTCTCCTCCTCCTACAAGCGTGAATCAGTGGGCGGGGCTAAAGAGGCAATAATGTAGAGGCAGGTGTTGATTTTCTTCTGCAGAGGCGGTCTTTTGTCGCAGTATGATGTCATAATGTGACAAATTCTGAAACGCGACATTTTTTAGCTTGGTTTCAATAAAAGCTGTTTTTAAAATATTGAGAAAGTTTTGAGTTTTGAAACTTACAGGATGTTTTTACTGACCTCTTTCATGTAAAAAAATCAAGGTGAATTTGATTTCTCAGATCCCTTTAAAGCTTACTGAACTGTTGGACATATACAAACTTTCTTTTTTGGTAAGTTCCTTTAACTATGGTAAAAAAATAAATAAATAAATGTGTTGTTATGGCATGTGTAATTCAAACAATAGGTATCCAGAGTAGCAAGTTAATGGAGTTTTCTTCGCTCCATTCCCAAAATCAGCTAACAATCTCCAAAAATGCAAGCATTGGAACAGATGTTCTTTATGACCTTTGTTCATTTTACACTTCCGTGATGTTTTCTCCATTAAACAAAAAGACTGCACAAATAAACCACACATAGACAGGGTGATTGCATTAGTTTTATATGGCAGTATGCTTCATCATCAGAAAATCTAAGGAGGAGATTTGGTTTATTTGCTCTGTAAAACACTTTCTACACTTAGAATGCAAATGGACTTCATTCATGATACTACATCTGTTGATTTCATCTTATGTGTCGATTATGATGAGTATTATTTGGTATTCAAAACTATGCTGACTGGACTCCGGTGTGACTCTTCAATTTCAACAGCTCTGATAAATATTAAATAACATGACATGCAGCCAAAGTTAACTTTATTTTAAGAAAAACACAGTCTAGTCATGCTTTCTGATTCTTGCACAATGACGCACACGCTGAACTTTGATGCTCAGTGTTATGGGTTTTGAATGAGAATGGCTAACATTAATAATAAAATCTGATCAACAGGGCACAAAATACGTGCCTCCCCTCAAGATCCCAGCCTGTGTCGTTTGGTTTACTAATTATTTACCGCACATCCATAAAGCAACGGCAGACAGGAACATCCGGCCCAACATCGTGACCTTCTTCCTCCGTGTCAAGGTTTCAGACGATTACCGGATCATTTGTATTCTCTGAGCATTGAAGATTAGGCGCTTAGCTGAGCTCTGCTTCTGTGAAAATTATTTGTTCTTCTTGAGACGCCTGCTGTCCGACCATCTCTCGCCTTTCCCAGCTCTTTCTCTGCTCCAAGTTGAACAATCTGGTACAAAACACAAATGCTCCTTTTACAGCACTATTAGCAATTCTGCAGAGACGTCGTCCTCTTTGCAATCATGGCATGCGCTCGCTGACAATTCCCAACTGCACTCCGCACTGATTTACTTAAGGAGCTAAAGAGTTGATTTGTAATCCATTCAGTGTGGGCAGCGAGACAATGGTGATACATCAGTCTTAAAGGTTCCACCGAAAGCTCTCAAACTCTGCCAAGCTGCTCAGTAGACGAGCTAATGCGTTTGTTTATCACGACCATTCTTGGGACTGTTAAGAAGCTGCAAGCCACTGCTGGTCCGTCAGCAATCGCTCCAGGCCTGGAGGACAGATGCTCAAACATTTCATAGGAATCACCCGGGGAATCGCAGAGGGAATGTTTGCAAGTATTGTTCATCAGCCGTGGATTGCTCTGGATCTGGTCCCATTGTCATCAAGTAAATGTGACTAATTGATTCCTTTCACGAGGAGTTGCGCAGACAAGAGCGACAGTGGTGTAATCCCTGAAAGCTCACATCATACGAACAACTTCCTCTCTGACATTAGCCACAGACCACCCTCCAACCTCCAGAGCACATGCATTGTAAAGTTCTGCCAGAAAGAATTCGGCTTGTCAAGTTTCTCAAACGATGAAAGACTCATCATTCATGTGTCATGAATAATCTGATCTTTCACTGACAACCGTGACGCACGAACTTCCTCGCCAATCAGAGAACATAATGAAATAAAGAACAACAGAAGATACAGTAAGAGGCATTTCTGAGAGCCGATACCATTCATACTTCCAACAAGTCTGATTCTAAAGATTTCAGATGTAAACACACAAACTCAAAGCCAGCTCCATCAACCCAATACCCAATACCGCAGCACTTAACTTACTGGGTGGCCTGATAACACTTTATTGATCTTCAGATTGCCGCTCCATCTGTTATCGGCATGCGGCTGGTATGTAGTACGGTTTACTGCAGCTGTGCGTCATGGATCGCAGGTGTGGAGGAATGAATCAAGGACAAACACTCTGAAGAGAGCAGTTACTTTGGTAAAAGACTAGTTGTGGTACACAGCTGAGGTGACCAGCCTATTTGTCAAGCTACAAAATTTCCTAGATTACAGATAGCTCACATATTTAACATCAATATGACTCTCATAGCTTGCTTTTCCTGAAGCTTATAGCTCTGGTTCAAAACTAGTTTTTCTTCAAACATTAATATCACAAGTGTATTGACTTTTATTTTTTACTTATTTTACTGATCTATCTATCTATCTATCTATCTATCTATCTATCTATTTATTTATTTATCTATTTATTTATTTTTAAATATTTATTCTTAAAACAA